CCTTTTTGTTCGCTTCGTAATTGACACCGAGATTTTCCTTTGAAACATCGAGGATTTGCTGACTTCCCGATAACTAGCGGTTTAAGTTTATCTGTACCAGTTACATTTGTACAAAGTAGTACAGTAATTCGTTCCTTATCCTTCTTTTTTCCTTTACTGGCTAGGTTGCGAGTGTCTGATTGGGTGTCATTCGGAAAAAAAGACCAGCATTATAAACATTCTCTGGCTGGTACTGCGAAAGTAGTTCGATTAATTGCTGTCTTTGTTCAGGAAGGTTCAACTAGCACGCTTTTTGATTCTCCATGAATTTTAAACGACGAATATCATGTCGTTTTTTGAACCTATCAATCCAACCTTGACTCGCTCTCTAGAATATTTAGAAGTTTAGCAAATTTTTTGCTTGCAGTTGTAAGAGTCTATCAGTTGATATAACATTTCGAGAAAAAACCCTATGCATCCAGATGCTTAAAGCATCTTCCAAGTTCGTAAACTTTACTGGTCCGTTAGCCTTTGTTTTTGCTTCGTAAATTCTTTGGATAACCACTCGTTCTTTGCTTTTAAAATCTTTGCAACCGTGCTTCTATCACAATTATATTCTTCTGCTGGTTCCGTAATACTTAATGATGGATTAGTATGCTTTCGTTGGCACATCTCTTGCTTTGACTTCATAGTTAAGTGCATTCGTTTCTGCGTTCTGATTCCTCATTCATGATTATTATCTTGTTCGGTGTGAATTATTGAGACAGCGCGGTTTTATACAGCACGATATTCAATCATTATAATGCGATGGCACGTGAAATAATTACGAAAATTACTGAAATATGTACACAGTGCCGCTCTTTAGAGTGGACCTCCTTTATAGTGGATAGAGGTTCAAAACCATCTATAATAAATTCTATCCGATATAGTGTATTAAACCATTCGATTTTAGTGGATTCTTGAGAATTTTTTGCTAATAGATTTTTTTGATACACTATAAAGTACGTCATTGTGTAAACTGTCATTTCTTATGCTCAATTTTTCCACTTTTAGTAATCTGTTTATACTTTAGTACACGCTACTATTACTAATTTATATTGATGTTGATATCAGCGAGGTACAACTAAATAAGAATAAAATCTGATTATGTGTTGGTAGGGACATCACGGGGTATGATATCAAAAATGATATATGCGGGAGAATTTAAATATGGGGAAATCCGTTCTGTAACTACTGTTGCTAATAGAGAGAGGTGGATATTA